TTGTAGACTGACTGTCGACTCAAATTCTGATATCAAGCCTTTGACTGATAACATCTCATCCATGTCTTTATCTGTTTTATCGAATTCTATGCATGTGTCGAAGACGCTCATATCAGGCTCTGGTAAAAAGCATAGTTTTATCATTGATACTGGCAGCGTCGAATCCATTATTCCTGAGTCAGATCTTATAGCATTTTATCCTACTGCTGTTTTAAAACCGACACAATTATCTGTTAGAGGTATCACTGGACATGCTTTACCGCTTCTTGGTTCATGTACTATACCAGTCAAAGTTTCCAGTGGTAACTTTGTTGATTGTAATTTTCTTGTATCGAATTCTGGTCCTTCAATAATTGGTCTCAAAGTTTTACGTGCGCTTAACGTTAACATTTCACTACTTACTTCAAATTTCAACGAAACCGAATTGAAACAACTGATCACGAGCTGCTCCAAAGTCACCGGAGGAATGCGCATACCAAAAGTGAAACTCGAGGTTTCTGGTGATCCGATTTTCCTCAAACGACGTATAGTACCTTTTGGTTTGCGTGAACCAGTGCGTCTAGCTCTAGATTCATTGTGCCAAAAAGGTATTCTGACACCTGTCGAGTCTTCCAAATGGGCTACGCCGATTGTTACGCCATTAAAGTCTGATGGTAAAACTGTTAGAATTTGTGGCGATTATCGATTGACACTCAACAAAAGCCTACTTCAACGCTCGTGTGCTACAGAAGAACCTGAAGATGTGTTGTATCGTCTGGCGGGATCAAAAATCTTTTCAAAAATAGACTTGAAGGATGCATACTTGCAGATACCACTTGATGATGCTACTAGTGAATGCACAGTCATCAATACACCATTTGGATTATATCGGTATAATTTCTTGCCATTCGGACTTAATGTCTCTCCTGCTGTATTTCAAGATGTGATTAATTCAATTACTGACGGTCTTGAAGGTGTTGTAACTTATCAAGATGACGTGATAGTTCATGCTGTCGATAAGGTTACGCACGATTCACGCTTGCTTGCATTATTCAAAAGATTTCATGACTTAAATGTTGCCGTTAATTCTTCGAAATGTGCATTTTCTGTTTACAAACTATCATGTTTAGGCTACACTGTTGATGGAAATGGTTTTTCTCCTGATAATGAACGTTTATCGCCTTTAGTCAATGCTCCATCCCCTTCTAATCTGTCCGAACTTCGTTCCATACTTGGTGCATTGCAATATTATTCCCGATTCATACCTAACTTTTCTCAGAAAGCTTATTGTCTATTTGAACTGTTATCTCTGAAAACATTTTCATGGATATCTGAGCATGAGAAAACTTTGCGTTCTTTACTCAATTATCTTAAATCTGATGCTATTTTGAAACCATTTTCTGCGAAAGATCATTCAACTGTTATAACTGATGCGTCTCCAACTGGATTAGGTGTTATTCTCGAACAAAATGGCCGTCCTGTCATTTGTGCATCCCGTCGACTAACACAAGCCGAACAGGGCTATTCTCAAACACAGCGTGGAGCTCTTGCTGTCTACTGGGGTGTAAGTAGACTACACAAGTATCTTTTTGGTAAACCATTCAGGATTGTGACCGATCATGTTGAAATGAAATTCATATACCATCCTATGAAACCATTGGCTAAATCATCCGCGGCCATGGTTCAACGTTGGAGCATCGCTCTCAGTTACATATGACATGACATTATTCATCGTGGTGCTAAATCCATTCAGCACGTCGATTATCTATCCAGAGTTCCAGAATGTTTATCACGATCTAATGTATCTGATTGTCTGTTAGTACAACCGCTTCCGATTAAACGAGACGAGCTTGTGCGTGATACCTGCAAATAGTTTTCATCCGTTATCTCTGCATTAAAACGAGGATGGACGCATCAAGAACGTCGTCGTTTTCCTGCATTTTATGCTCGTCGAGACAGTTTAGCATTGACACCTGATGGATAGTTGTGTTATAACGATCGTGTCGTGATTCCACCAACACACAGAACTGCCATTTTATCCTATTTTCATTCCGGACATTTAGGCATCGACAAAATGAAGTCTGTCGCCAGACTTACTTGTAGGTGGCCAGAGTTGGATGCAGACATTGCGCGTACGGCTAAGGATTGTATGAATTGTACGCACAAAATTCATTCCAAACCATCCAAATGGATTCCTTGGCCATTGTCCTGTGAAACATGGCAACGCATTCATGCAGATTATTGCGGTCCATTTTTGAACAAATATTATGCACTGGTGGTTGTAGATTCCTATTCACGCTGGACGGAAGTATTTCTCACGACATCCCCGAGTTCTGAGTTTACTCAATATGCTTTGAGGAAACTATTTAGTCGTGAAGGTGTACCAATTGTTTTGGTCACTGATAACGGCTCACACTTCACGGTGAAATCTCTCGAATATTGGTTAAAAGGACTTGGTTGTCGTCATTTATTTACTGCTCCCCGTCATCCACAGTCTAATGGACTCGCTGAAAATTTTGTTCGAACTTTGAAATCTGCCATCAATTCTATTTCCCCTGTTACTTTTCATGATCTTGATCGAGGTATTGATAATTTCTTGATGCAGTACAGGAATGCTGCTCATTCAATTACTGGTAAGAGTCCAGCAGAGCTATTCAAGTCGAGATCCTTACGCACGAACCTGGAATGCATTGGGACTGCCGACGTAACATTTTTCAAGGGTAACGATCTACGTCCATCTACTGGTGTTGTTATTGGGAGGAACGGGAATCGTATGGTCACGGTTCTTTACCTCGAAGATCTCTCAAGTCACAGACGGCATGTTGATCAGGTCGAATTCAATGCTAGATGTCAGTTCGGCGACAATACGTCTGTTGCTTCTAACACTAATGACCTTTCTGATTCTCTTACAGATGGTTCTGATGGGCATGAAACAAACACTGAACAGGACAATCCGTCGTTGAGAAGATCTGAAAGTTTGAGGTTTCAGCTGATTAGAGACTATAAACACCCGCACGCTCGTCCAACGCGTGGTGGATGTGGTGAACATTGACTCTATTCTATTCATTCTGTTTAGTGTATTTTTATATGTCTTTGTTTTACGATGCGATTGATGGTACGCCCGCGATATACGAGAATATACGAAGAAAAAGGGGAACCAAACGGGCATGAGCATGAATGCCAGTAATATTAGAGACGTATCATCAATTCAGTCTGAGCAAAGAATGAGTAGCTTACACGCTGGGGTCGATATTCTGCTAAACACTTTGTCTGGTCCCTGAATTCCTGGTTGCCATGAGTGTGAAAGGAATTCGCCTACCAACTGAGGGTTCGGATAATAATGACCACTCTATTGCTGGTTATCGTAAAGCCTTACCACTTTAACCAAATGCCAACACATTGTGTTGACATGACAGTGTCCTTTCCTTTCCTGCACGAAATTTTCAAAAGCTTTTGTGACTGGCTGGAACATTTGGTCCAGTAATTTTGAACGGAGTAATAATAATAATAATGTTTATTCCCAACTTGTGGGTGGCATATCGTCTGGCATATTCACACGTTGACAATCAGAATGAAGCATGCCTGGGGGGTTTGCAGGTGGTGGTTGTAGTGCGAAAAGACTTTGGTGATGAGCGAATTCCGCACATGAAAACAATCCTGGCAGCCAGTTAAGAAAAAAGTGCTCATTTGCTACGAATTTAATATATTGTGCAGGCGTTTCTTAAAGGACACCTCGTTTCTGTGTACCATGTGATTTGATGAGCAGCACCCACTGCGCAATCATGGGAGCGTATCATTTACGAACCGTTTCTTTACATTCCGGCAAGCCAAAATATATCCACAGGAAGGATGAAGGAGATACCACCGGCTCATACTCCCGAAATTGAGGCTACAGTACACGAAACTTATCTTCCTCTGGGAAAAGTTGAAAAACGTATGGTACATGGCCGATGTGCGGCCACGTCATGAATGTAATTAGTAAAAGTGCATAAATACCACACGTCAACGATCTTCCAGATGTTCCCGCGAGTCTACGTCTAATTTCCCCGGGAGAATTAAAATCTTTGAGTTCCAATGCCAGTGCCCTCCAAATGGATGTAGATGCCGTAAAGCAGTGGTCGTTGAACTGTCACCTTATTCTGAATGGCGAAAAGTGCGTCCATATGCCATTTGGAGGAGGCTCAGCGAATGCCTTTGTCATGCATGGTGAGACAAGTCCACGAGACATCATGAGGATCGATGTCAAAATGGATTCGGGTATCTGGTTCTCTTCAAACTTGTCATTCCCACTGCACCGTGACAAAATGGCCCGTTCAAGGATGATTCGGAGCGCCCCCTCGAAGGGACATCCAAATGCTCTGTGGCGCCTCCCTCTGCCAACCGAGTTGTCTACTCAGGACGCACGAAGAACGTAACACTTAGTGAGTGTGTCCAGCGAGGTGCTACCAAAATGGTTACCGGCCTCAAATCCATAGACTACGAAACACATCTGGCGGTTCTTGACCGCTCACCTGGAGTATCTTCGCCTTCAGAGGGACTTTGAACAAGGCTTGAACAAGGCTTGGCCAACAGGTTTTCATCATTGTCCAAGCAGACACATGGTGGGGACATGGTAGGAAGCTTTTAAAGCTCAGAGCGCACATTTTCATTGAGCAAAATTTCTATCATTTCGGGTATTTGCTGTGTGGAACACCCTCCATTCGATACACTATTATACACTTTTGTACGAGTTCTCGCAAGCTGGCTATACCCAATGAGAACTAAAAAAGCACTTATACAACATTTTCACCTCGTGCTTTTCAGGCGGAAAGCCTAGGCAACTTGGGCGAAGGACTGGACATTGTGTCAATCCCCCATGAATCGGTGACCTGGATGTCACGTGCCGGAAAGGTCATGGACCGCGGCTTTTCAATTTCAAGGTGAAAGTGACCGTTGGCCTCGTCGAGTCCAGGTCATCGTCCTGGCATCTGTTTGGGGGAATTTGGTATTTACACTTTCCGCCCTTAATTTTCTGCGTTGATATGCTGTCAACTTCATGGCGCAACACAGGCGACTTACCCAAGGATCCATCTCGAACATCTTTCGTGGGCAAAACTGATATATTCGTCACTGCGAAAACCAATCTACAGACAGTGACTGCTCGAGGTGATTCAGAGACTATTGGTAAGAAACGAGTTTCGATTCATATTTGCTAAGGTTCCCAAAAAGGCCGAGTGACTGCGTTGGTTGGATACAGCGATTTACCACATCAGATCCACAAGAAGGCCGTATCCCGTGGTTTCACATTTAATCTCATGGTCACTGGATCCCCAGGCCTTGGGAAATCAACATTTATCAATTCACTATTCTGCTCCGACATATATAATTCGGAGAACCCGGTGAGTGACATTACATCCGCGCTCTGTATCCTTTTTTACTTCCTACGTTCCCCTATGACTCATGATTGAAAGTTTGGTATCAGTGATGCGTTTTTTTATTTCGTATTTCACGTTAGTCGCATACTCTAGGGAGCTAAGATACTGCAGAAGTCTCTTGTCATTTTCCACCTCTGCGCAGAAAGCGCAACTACCCAACTAGCATCACCTGCGGCACTCGCCTTGTTCTATTAACTGACTGCATCAAGTTGGATGACTGGCACGAGGTCCAGTAGTGTGTTCATGAGCGACAGTCGATGTGAAGAATCTCAGCAAATGGGCAATATTAAAATCAGTTGGTTTTCGAACCCAAATTAATGCGCATCTGTAAGCTCAACTGCAAACGCATCTCCACCTAGGCTGATTGAAAGATCATCCGCTTACCGGAAGGGTATAACTACGGCAGAATGTATGCAGCCTGGGGATCCAGAATGATGGACTCACAACATGGAATAAGCAGAAAACGCGAGAAGCCTCGACTCAATAGTATTTCACTATGCTAGATTGTGGAATAAAGTCGGTCTTCTTGTTTACTAAATGAGCGAGCGCTCTTCGACGGCCGACCCCACTCTAAACTCAGACAGGTTTCTTATCACCGCAGCGGTAACCAACTTTGACGCAGCCTCACTAGACGTACTTGCAGATGGGTGAAGAAAGTCGGAAAGGTGGAGGAGAAATGTCTTGGAAATCTATTGTCTGTGAAGACACGGGATCGATGTAACTCCCTGATCTACAACAAGATGAATAATCTTAATATGGAATTGAACATTCCGATTGACAAGTCATTTGGTTACCCACTTTCTGTCCATAATCCTGTCCTGGAAAGTACATGGGCGCTTCTATTTACTCAAGCGACACCGAGTCTCTCGTGCCGACGATCTTTTGTTTGTTTTTTAAAGGGATGGTTGTGAATTTCTCAGTCAGTGGGTTTATCTAATTCGCATCGATATATTGGAACTACGTACTATCTTCTCTGGGTATGAAGACCATTCTTTGCTGACGCGTGACGTGCTCATTGACTGGGGTAATATTTCAACGAACGGGACAGGTTTTCACATGAAAGGTGCACTTTTTTGCTCCCTTTATCCGCGCTTGTTTCACTCATGGCTCATTTACTTAGTTTGTCTCAGATGACGATACAACGCCGTCTATACACCACTGCGCTTTTCCCGAACCCTCCGGAAGAACTTTCGAATCAATGTAACAATGCTTCTTTTTTCCAGATGTGCTGTTCCAGGCCTATTATTTAATGACGTTGCAAATTGTCCACTTCCGTCAGCAGTCTCTCCCTCCGTGAAAGTAAACCATTCTCGCCAAACTAACTGGAACTGTAGGAGCTCGACAGAAAGAGTGGAGAAAATCTACGTTCTCATTGACGGAGCAGTATTTATAGCCGTTCCCTTGCTTGACTTGCCATTCTTTTGGGCTCTTATGAGATCTTTGAGTGGTGTTCAGGTCGTGAGTTTTGTTGGCCGTCAGACGTGTTACGGTTGTCCTCACTGATAGGTCTTGATCTGTTCCATTGTATTGTATCTTATTCTCTAACGAAATCGAAGGGCACTTGTGGGAACTAGGTGATCATAACTTTGGAATTTGTCATATAACTACATCCCTCGTACATGTCAAACCTATTCTTTCGCCAGATAATAAAATATCCACACCTATATACGTAAATGTTGCATCCCTACTGTAGAAATGTGAGGGAACTCCTTTATTTGCTTACAGTTCATAACCCCCTCCTGAAACTCCTCATTGTGTGGCGTTGGTTAGATCACCCTGTAGGTTTCCACACTGATGTCACTGAATGACCTTTGATCTCTGGGAGATAGCAAAGTTGAAATGATTGTGTCAAATGCTAGTGACAGATGACTGCCCTCGAGATCGACATCTTAATAGTCATACGTCTGTACATGTCTTTGGTATAGTTCCGTGGTAATTCCGTGGACCGTAGCTTATCAAGGTGTCTGTGATAATCGCTTGAACGCATCAGGTTTACCGTTTTGATCCGTAGTTTATTAATTTACAGCTTTTATTAGCAGCTCGATCGGTTTCAAATCCGACCCCGCCGTGTGCGTTTGCCTTGACCTACTTTGTTGGTCTATCAGCCTATCAGCGTTTTTTTCGGTTAGACTGCAACGTAATGCAGTGCACATGTGTTTGTATGCGCTGAGTTTATGGTGACATGGAACAAAACGCGTGACAGAATGACTATATGAACTTACGGCCGTGTGGATTTGCTACAGGGGGAAAGTGAACTATGTGGTTGTACAGACCGATTCTCACGCTTGAAGAAAATTTCGTGTGCGCGAAGCAATTTAGCATCAGAACAAAATTTTACGATATGAAGCCGGTCCTGATGGTGAGGCGGTTTTTAAATGTATGATTACTGTAGTCTCCTCGCAAGAGGTACTTATCCCATGAGATGGAATTTCGCGCTTTTTGAGAGAGCACTGTCCAACTCTTGACCAAACCTGTTCATGGGCAAAAGCCCTGCCAGCAGCGACCAGAACATGAGATTCATGTTCTAACCTTTCGTGTGTTTCAACGTCAGTTAGGTAGCTAAACAAAAAATTATGTGGAAAATATTTACCCATGGGTGGTTTCAAGTCCTATTACACGATTTTCATCTATATGACACATAGCTACGACTCCCGTGATGATCGTCAATGACCTTAAGGTAGCCCAGCCGTTAAGGTGCAAACCTGCTGACCGGAAGGCCCGCGGTTTTAACCCAAATGCGGCAGAGGGGTGTGGAGGGCAGAACCGTAGAAAAGTCAGACGGATCTTGGGTCGCTGTCATCCGCCCACTCCGTTGGGTTGGGCATTTATTAGAGTTCGCTTGTCTAATACTGGCACATCCAGGTGTGACAGTTTTGGTTTCACTGTACTGAATAGGTTAGCACTTTTGTTACGTGTCTGTCCCCTTTTCCCCCCATTGTCGGCAAGCAGCTGGGATAGCTAGACTCAACGCGCTGCCACCTAGATGGGTCACAACAGCTCCAGCTGGTTCACATCCCGGACGACCACCGACATGGAGGCTTCAGTCCAGTGTGACAGAACGTTCAGTGCGTCGTAAACCTTTGTGGGAGCTTTCGTGTTAAGGTATAAACAGGCGCAGCCAACAAGTAACGACTGTTGAAACGTTCGCTGGGTGTCACTGGGTACTCGGACATTCGCGAGTACCCAGTTGGGTAGAAATCCTTAGGCTAAACTACCGGAGGTAATAAATTCTTGGACCAGTTAACTGTGACAGTCTCCGGTTTACAAGAAGTGCACAACCAGAATCGGGAAGAAACTGAGTGAGCGGTCAATTCGACAACCGTGTTCGGATCATGGATCCGTGGTCTGGACAGAAATTACGTCAATGGAGAGCGAATACGACACGAGAAAAAGTGCCTCTCTCTCTTGGTTGTCAGGATGAGAACGCTCAAAATGGTCGAACGAACTGGCCGTCAGGAATAATCGAAGTTCTTGCAGACGAAAGTGCAGTGAGTGTTGTAGCTAACGGCGTTGCTACGCGAATTTGTCGGTTTGTAAGTATGGGCCCATGAACATATTACTATCGATTGATTGGGTAGGGGATCTGACAGCCGGTCGCCTTGCCTGAGCAGTTTACATCTGAGATATTTCGGAAGCAGACTAGTCCGCTAAAGAAGAGACTGAACTTCGTCTTGGTGTGACGCCTCCATGACCTGGTCGTTTTCAGTCGCTCATTGTGCATTTGTAAACTCTCTGTGAATAATGTGTTCAGCAAACGCTTTGATCTACATCAACTCACTTTAGCTGTGAACATTCAGACGATACAACTGCTTTGTGCTGTTCGACAATTTCCTGAGTAGTTCTTTTTGGTAAGCAGCTTTTGTTGGATGAGTAGTTAACCTCCTTAAGGTTACTGTATTTTCCAGGACACCTTGAATATGAAAACTATTGAAGTTATTGTCGACCCTCTGTTTTCGCGGCCATGACTATGTCTATGCTCCACGAATGGTACACCTATATGTGTTTATCTGTTTTAAAGGGGACCATTTCTTAAAAAACCACTTCCGGGTGGTCCCTGGGATATCCTCTCATTCGTTAAACCCTGTTTTCCTCGCCCAATTCAGAGTGACGGAAACTCAAGTGTAGACGGAATCTGACATGAAAAAATGAAACGAAGGATGTTGCAAAAAGTTTTGGTGCCGTTGGTGCTGTTTTTTTAGGGTGGGGTCCACGTGACCGCCCGTACTTGTCTGGAGATACTGAACGGCTGGGTAGCCATTGTTAGCGTCGACCATGCTGTCAGTTTCTATCTAGGTTGCAGGAAGTGCAGGCACTTTAGTTATTTGTTGCACACTAACTCCAAGTCCCTTTCTTCCTCATCTCTTCCGATCACGAAGCCTTTTTGAAATAAGTTGACATGGTTGCCTTTCAGCGAAGCACTAATGTTCTCATCTGACGTTACTGTCAAAGATTTTTTTGATGATTATGGTTAAACGCTTCTCAGATAAGACCGCTTCTAATCCTTCTCTGCTGGCAGTATCTAGTTTGGAACAGCTGTATTACTGCTTTTATGTAGCAGTCCTGTTTGTCTTATCAAGCGCATCGACTAATCCCGAAGAGGTGAGCCATGCCACCGTTGCTTGTTCATTTTAGTCAACGAACAAATGTGTAATTAAAGATCAGCAACACCGAATGTGCTTTGCTTACGTAAGTAAGCGAGTTCTTGGTTTATCTAACCGGATGCTCTCTTGTTTTTTTTCCCTGATTGCCTTTCGTTGGTTCATTAATTGTTACACATTGTTATCCTCTTTATACAGGGTCCGTCAGTGAGACCAACTTCTGGAGTAACTCGTGTCGACTGCAGGTCTTTTGTAATCTCAGAATCCAATGTGAAGCTGCATCTACGGATCCTAGACACACCTGGCTTCGGTCAGCTGGTGGACAACTCGCATTGCTGGGAACCGATAGTCGCGTGTCTTGAATCTCAGTTTGATGAATATTTGAAAGCGGAACTGAGTGTTTCTCGGACCACACTGGGATCTGGGGTCAGTTACATCCCATCTTTACCCGAAGACAACCGAACACACGCTTGCATTTACTTTATCAACCCGAATGGACACGGGCTGCATCAGTTGGATATTGAGACGATGAAGCGGCTTCATGATAAGGTATGTGAACTTCTGATCGTTTTGGTTTTTCCATGAAGGGTTGAGTTTTTATATCCGGCGTTTGTCCAAAAAGCAAATATAATCCATGAGAAAAAGACAAAAGGAACGCACGGCTTTTTCCTTGTTGTTAAAAAAGATCAGTGTGTGTCTTACGGATCCATGTATCATTTGTAGTGTGTCTTACGGATCCATAGTATCATTTGGTAATCCAGCGTTTAGTTTTGGTCGAAAGCGTCTAATGTTGATAGTACAGAAGCATAGACAGGGAGTTCACTCTAGTTTTGCACCATCTGATAAGCAATCAGTCAGCGCACCACAGTTTGTAGAATAGAGATAAAGTCGAAAATCTTTGGGATTAGCATGCAACGATAGCGAATCGTTTAGGTAATTGTTTTGGACATTGAGTCCTCTTTTTTTCTTTTCAAGTCGCCCCTGGGAACTTCAAATTTCCCGACGTCAATTTTCATGTACAAATCACCCTCATAAACCCTTTCGTTTCTAGCGAACAGGTTACGATAAATGAATTTGGCTCAATGATTAATTCAAGCCCGAATAAAGCTGCTTGGCTACGATAGAGAATGAAGTAAATGGCCTATTCGAATATAAACTAGATTTTCGATTTGTATGAGACACCATTATGATGCCTTGAATGTTTTTCACCATAACTCCTCTACAGCAAAATGCAATCAGCAGTTCCTGTCAATTGATGATGAGTACCGTCGGAAAATAAACTCGGGATTGCAGCACTGTGTTGGGCGGATTCACATAAAATCACGTAACAATACATCAACGAAGCGCTTGTCGATACGATGATACGGTGAATTGGTACCGTGCTTTTTCGCGCCTACTTTTTCCGCCTAAATGCATAGTTTGTTGTCTCATTTATTGGTTCATGAAGTGGAACTATCCTGGATTTCCTTGTTCAGTTGTCCACTCGTTGCCTGTCAACAAAAGTATGTATGTCATTTCGTGTTATTCAGGTGCTTCTGAACCTAGTTTTATTGTGGCCTCAGATTTGTTGAAGGTTAGGTGTGATGTTCGGAGAAAGACTAATTTGTCTCTTCTCTGATTGTGTTGTGTATATCTGAAGGAAGCGTTGAATATGTTCCTGTGGTTCTCCGATCGTCTACTATTGAATTTTCCTTCCCTCCGTTTTTAGCTCCCGGTAGCCGTTTTAGCGTTTTAGTCGTTTTGTTGGTGCATTTTTACGCACTAGCACACCTATTTGCGGGAATGCACCACCCCGGTGTCCGATGGAATTTCGGGTCGACAGTTGTACGCTACTTAGACCAAGTCGCCTCTCACTGTTTGTCAGCTTTGTATACTGGCCGTTTGTTTAAAGCATGTGCGACCGTTTCCGTGACTTGGTGACTCATCGTTTGCACCTTTAGTCAGTTGGGTTCTCCCACGCCTGTGCATGCTGTCACACACAACAAATTGGATGAAGATATCATCCTGCGAAAACCCTGCTGAAGTGAATCGTCTGTTGTACTCTGTTCCGGTAAAAGCGGTGTCTTTCTCTACTTTGGGAAACCTGTCTGTGCTACGATTATGTTAGCTTGTTATTCTTAAATGTTTTCCGAAAATCTTAGTCTAATGGAGGGAAACACTTATCTGCAAACGAAGTTTTACACCCGTGTAGCAAGTTGATGTGTCCTTTCGAACACTTGAACAGGTGCTCAATCAGGAGGGCGTTAAATCTCAACTTCTATGAGAGGAAGAAATGTAATGTCTGTTGAGCGCATTCTTGGGTTGTAGTTAGGTACGAGCTTGTCTGGGCTGGTCTAAGGTATGGGTTGCTAAATAGTTTCGAACATTTGCCTGTCATGGTGCGCTCCATCGATTAGTATTCTGGTTTGATCGTCTTCCAATCGTCATCTCAAAAACCACTCTGGGAATACTTGTTTCACCGCTCCTCCTCTGTCCTAGGTGAATTTGATCGCTGTTATCGGTAAAGCAGATTCCATGACTGCGGATGAACGCCACCACTTCAAGCAAACTGTCAGAACCCAGTTAGAGGAAAACAAAATAAATGTATACAACTTTCCACAATCCGTGGTCAGTCTGGGGGGAGAGGCGACTGATAAGGTTCTGCAGGAGATTTTAGAATGGCGTGAACGACAGCCGTTTGCAGTGGCTTGCAGCGGTCAGCTAATTAAAGAAGCAGATGGCCGCAGAGTAAGTCATCTTTTTGTTTATAACTTGGATTGAGGCTGAATAAGTCTCAGGTATAACTTGCTTGAGAGCAAATTCGTGCATGAAAACTAGCCATTCATTCTGGATAGTTTTTCCCCCTGGACGTTCTCTATGTCTTATTAAGGTAGCATTGTCCCAGTTCACCCTCACAGCTCTGTTTTGATTGGTCCTTTCCCAACTCCTAATTTGCTCAGGTTCGTGGCCGAGTGTACCCGTGGGGTGTGATGGAAACAGACAACCAGGCCCATAATGATTTCGTCGCTCTGCAGAACCTATTATTGAACGTTCATTTGCAGGTAGGTTTTTATCCTTCCAAAACATTTGACCAATTCACATCCTATTCAGATGTAGTAGTTCCTAGTTATCGCGAGTCTTTTGGAAGTACGCTCTTTTCATCAAATCCGAAGGCAGTTGCTATTTTGTAGTTGTCTCCTTGTAAGTAGTGTGGAAGAAGCGATCGCAGTTCACCAGTACGCTGCCGCCTATTTCGCCGTGTTTGAGGCTTATTGTGAAGGTAAATTTTCCAGATTCCAACACCTTTGTCATACTTGAGCACCGGATGGTCATATATGTTGAAAAAGTTATGTATTTGAAATTTCTTTGGTTTTATTTCGTTCTCCAACCTGATATGCAATGTAAAGGCTGCTTCAGCTTTCTGTACCTGAAGAGTTTTGATCTTTATGTTTCTGAGGTAACTAGGCTTACTGGTGTCTTAACGGTCAAATCGAGCTAAGTAAGCGCAGTCAATGTACATAGACTTCAGGTTGTGCTCAGCAGGATCATGTATTCAGTGAGTTGAGGTCGAATTAGCTAAGTGTTTAAAGCGCGATCTTGCTGACCGGACGGTCTGTGTTTCGAATCCGACTTTGGTATTGCGACTGCTTCTGTGTAGGCTTGGAAAATCTGGCAGTATCTCATTCCTGGTTCTTACTTCGAGGGCGGTGTGGCACATACACCGGAGAACTGTTATATCTGAACGACTGTTGTTTTACTTGTGTGAGCTGCGGGATCTAACCTCTGCTTCCAACGGTCATTGTGCATGTTGAGACGAGTCGTTTTCGATTTCCTTCTCTCCGTCACCCGTCCTGTGCACTCCCATTTGGTTGGAAGTTAGTGATACATTCAGGTGTCACTGGAGGCGTGATCCGTACCATAACTACCCCTCCTTAAGAAAACAACTCCCCCTCAAATGGTAGATTTACTCCCAAGGGAGAAACTCCACCATACAGTGGTCCTATACCAATTTTTATTAGTTCCAAAGAGTAGCTTCATACTCACAGTTGGTACACAATTCTACCACACTAATCAGTAATAATACACACTGCCACTCTTGTCATTGGACCTAATTTGACCCAGCCGACAGGGTTTCTGCTCCGTGGAACATTTCACAATTGAACGGCAACTTAAAGGTACTAAAGGTTAGTGTGAAGCAACGCACACAGTGCCCAGTTTTTGGTTATTCCAACTATTTTCGCTGTTTTGTAGGAACCGTCGTCATCCTCAGGTGTAGCCGCGTAAGGTTTTGCACTGTAGTTTTGTTCCAGCGATGATCTGGGAAGATAGAGATGGATAGCTAGTGAGTAAAATGACGGGGACTAACCTTCGTTATGCATGAGTTTTGAATAGTTTGAGCGTTCGCTTTCACGAATAGGAAAACTCCATTCCATTCTAGTTTAAACTGTTGAAAAACAACCGTCCACAATTGGAATTCAATTGCCCGAGTGCAAAGAGTGAACGACACCATCATATTCAATCAAGAAAACGTTTCGGAGTCCCCCAAAGGTATTTCCTGGAGAGAGTGTACAATACCATGTTGGAGCTGAAACATCGCACCATCAGGGATGCTGTTGTTGTTGTGCGGGAATGGAAGTTGTATAAGAAGTCCAGTAGTCAGGCTTTATTGAATTACTTGGGTATTTAACAAACTGATATCGTATACTCTCCAACAGTTTTCCGATTGCTAGCTAAGGTTTCCATAGTCACCTTGGTATGGTCCAGTTTATCAATATTGGACGGTATACATTGACGATGGTCAGCCCTTTCCACTTGTATTTCCCATCATCTGATTTTTTTCAGTTTCTCATGGTGATTTGGATACACAGTAAGGTCTTCCGATCAGTATTCCTTTGGTAGTTAAAAACGCTCTCCGAAAGCGTAGGACTGCCCCGCTGTTGTGTTTTTTTAACCCACTTGGACTGGAGTACTGTAAGGCTGTTTAGGAGAATAGATAACCCAATATAGGCACGTGACATTTGTGCATTCAATCATTTGCAGTGTATTCTCGACAAGTCATTTTGCAAAATTCCTTAAGTTGGGTCCTCTGTACCTTTGACAGTTTAGCGAAAACAAGTTCACTGCCATTTTGGATACTCAATAACAGACCACTGTCCTCCGATGTCCTCTCATCGGTACCTAAAATTAGAGAGTTTCACTTAGAGAATAGCAGGACAGGCATCAAAACGGATATATTTACGGGTCTTCGCAAGGCTATATTGCTGTTTTTCCGCCGGTCTGTAGGTTGCAACTCAGGTGATGTGTGAGCGCCAAGTGGTGAGGTGTTCTTCGACAGGCCCACTACGCGGTCGTATCTCATATATCCCATTTGCTGTCACAGCCGAAGCTCTTGTCTTTATACCACACCCGTATCCCATGGGTCTCTGCCTAGTATAACTTTGTTTCCATTTAGTCGGCTCTTCTGTAAATGAAGGATATGTGAAGTTACAAATGGTGCCTGACCACGAACCTGAAATGGTGATCCACTACCAGACTACCCATTTATGTCACTTTCCGCTTTCTGGTTCGGCCGACGCTCTTACGGAGAACGNTGGCATGGCATAGTTTTCCCAGCCGTATTGTCAATTTGCGACAGAATTGTGCCTTGGATGGTGGAAACCAGTGGCAGACCAGATATATGTTATGTTACTTCATCTACTAACAGTAAATTCGGGCGCTTCGAGATGATTTTATTATTTTTGAATCGCGATCATTATCCTAAGGCAAGCACAGCACCAGGCAGCGATCTACTGTATATTTTCCGGATTTTTGATCGAATTCGATTGTTCGGAAGCCACTACTGACTGACCGGATACTCCACTGAAGGGAAACCTAGATCCAGTCAAGTCGTACATACGTATGTCTGGCTCCTTAGGGGCGTCATGACGTGTTTGGTGGAATGGTCATGTGGATTTACTATTGGGGTGATTCTCCTGCCACCCGTTATGAGTGACACCTTGGTAACGGAATCTATCCATAGCGTATCTTGGACATCATACTTCAAGACCATAATTTTACTGTACGTCTTTTAACGCAATCAGTTCCCATTTTTGGTCCCACTGATGCGGATGCTTCTATCACCCACTTTGATGCAGCCTTTGGGGGAGTGAACTGACCTCAATTACTTCAAGAGACGAATCTATATAGTAGTTGGGGAATACGCGCTGATTTCCCGTTAAACTCTTTCTCAATTAAGCCTTCTGGCGCCATTTGACGAAATCCGCCGCTAGTACTAATATATTTTCTATGAAATCCGGTTATGGGTCAGTGGTCTAGAATCAGCTCCCTATCGGCTGTGACTCTGCTGAATTCCACTCTTTCGTTTTTCACCATAAGAACAATAGTTTCATGAATGAGGCTTTCTAAGTGTCCCTTCTGCTAACGATCCTTATTCTCTTTCATAGGATCTGATTGACGTCACTACCACTGAACATTATGCCAAATTCTTTGCCGCCAAGATGACAACCATTGCCGAGGCTAGCCAGTTCCCCACCGAGCCCGATGCGCGCGAGCCACTAAGTCAGTTAGAGGCGGAGCGTAATGAACAGAAGAGACGTCTATCCCGAATGGAGGCTGATATGGAGGCGGTGTTTGAGCAAAAAGTAAGTTATGGCTTGCCCGTCTCTGTTGCGAAGTATATAGAGTAAATGACGCTCATTCTGACCCTCCGAAAAGAGCACCCTTCGGCAAGTGAACACCGCGTTTACGCACCCTACCGTAGCATTTCTGTGAACCGAACCCTCAGTCACTGAGCTTCGATGCGTTAGTTGTCATACTGAAGAGCTTATTTTCGGGGTCCGCATGAACGAGTTCACGTTAATTTCAGAATTAGCCCGACCGACCAAATTTTCCGAAGAAAAACAAGTCGAGCCCAACTTATCCCTGGATTACTACAACCATAGGGTGAATTTCCAGCGATCGTCATCATCGTCACCCCCAGAGACAGCAGCATCAGTGCTTATGTTGATGCTTCACTGTCCTATAACCACAAAGTGTGTAGTCTTAAATCAGAAAAGAAAATTATGATTGAGGAAGGGTTCTGGTGCTAAACTACGACAAACGTTATGGGGTACCTACACTTCCAAAGTTTGTGAGACAGTATGAAAGAAACTGACATCGCGAATTTCGCTGACATTGTTTAGACGCCATTTCTTGCGATGCCCTAGCTAAGTGCACGGGACCTCACGGAGAGCCCATCCTTAAAGGCTCACTGCACCGATGACGTCCGAATTCCCCAACATTTCTCACACTCTTCTTCGAAGTCCTACTTTATCCAACCCTCAGTTTGCGCTATTCTGAAAAAGGCACGGGACACAAGACGTATCTCTGTGAACGATTACCTTATGTGCCTAACACATGTTCGAGCTACTGCAATATCATTGCCATTGATAGCAACACCAGATGAGAACACCGACGCTTCACCGTCGTACATCCATGTCAGTTTATTTCAGTAAAGCCCTGTAATAAAAAGAAGTAAGAAGTGGGAAGCCTAGGATCAGGGTGCAACAAACACCTGGGGTGCCAACACGTCCAATACTCAATCATACAACCTGGATAGAAGCTGACATCATGAACGCCACTGACACCAATTAGCCGCCATATCGCCAGTGCCTCTAGCTAAACACAGAAAGGGTCACGTGAACCCCATCCTGGAAATCTACCACAGTTGGATGTTCTCCGCAACTGAGATACCTGCTACATATCTGAACACTCGTTTTCCAATTACGTCGGTACAGGCTTGTTGGCGCGATCAGACACCAGATACACTTCTGAGATATCTACTGTCAAAGACCTGAAGACGTTTAAAATCATTTGCAAACAGAGGCTGTTTTGTAACCATACAGCACAGCACTGTAGCCTACTACACGCGACCCTTGAAATCCGGAGATCTACCCTTTTATACTACACAAGTGGCATGAACGTGATTTAGACGCTTAAGATTCATACACTTCCGTCAGACCCAGTAAAACTGCCGAGGTACGTACAATTTTTCCGCAACATCTAGTGCCTCTCCTTCAACTACATGTTCAAGAGACTGCACATCTTAGAGTAGGACTTTGCACTCTGCAGGTGCTAGAGGCATGCAGAAAGATGGCATGATAATGGTCGATCCACTCAGCAGGGCTTGTATTTTGTCTTCAGTGTCGTCAAGTTACTCCACATCGATAAGGCTCTTACCAACAACTATTTTGATGTAGTATTTTGGGGGCCCTGTAGCGTTCGTCGCATCATTTCGTCGATGATATAGTTGAACAAAAGGTAGAGAATGTCCTTGCCGGACACCACTTTTTTAGAGACGCTTTTAAAGATTACTATACACTCCCACCTCCCCGGAAGTATGTGGATTTAAGGACCAAGTGAGGTTCATGTACTTGTGAAGCATCCGCTTGTGATAAACCATGGTTTGAAACACTGACTTGTCGATAGAGGTGAACACACTTTTGAATTCAAGGAACACCATGATTGTACTGGTGCACATGGTGCCATTCCAACACTTGACACTGTTTTCCAGTGTCAGGTACGAAACCAAAACAATTCATTGTCAACGGAAAAGTGTGGGATTTGGAAGGATGCTTATCAGACCAAATCACAGCACAAGTTGGTTTTGGGGGACGATGTTTCTCACTAGTTGTGTCAGACACTGGACTTACTAAAAATGCAGGAGAGCCGCCGAATACAGGGCGGTTGCGCCGGCTGGGTGTTGTCGACCAGGAACTTCCTCAGCAAGTCTCTGAACTGAGGTGGAATGCTTTGGGTTTTTGTGCGGGCCCAGCGCCCTCCATCATTCAGTCCCGTCTCATGTTGATCACTTGTGGCCCGCAACGTAGCAGAAAGTGTATGAGAGTCATTACACAAATTAGTATTCTAATAGCTTTATTCAGAGTGGAACTCAATTGACCGGTCCGTTCGAACTGTTTTGATCTTTGAATTCTATCAAAAATTACTTGTGCGTCATCCATATCTGGCTTAGCTCACTTATCTGATTGTACCACGGTTGCATGTATTAGCGTCCTAGTTGGATGTTTTCGGTGCCACAGTGCGTTTCGAAAACGTTGTACATAAAGCTTACCGCTATTATACTCGGATGTCGTTACCATTTATTACAGATGCAATGTTGCATCTACCAGGTTGATTACGCTTGACTTTCAAGACAGTATATATATGTATATATATAATGTTTTTCCGCCAGAAGGTGTAATGTAGTAAGGTACGTTTGAAACTACCTCTACTGAATTCGGCCATTCCAGCCAACCGCACCACTGCCAGCTGCACTTTTACGCTATTCTATCCGTAAGTTTAGTTGCCTGTTTTTAACGTTCAGGGTGACAAGATATCATGGTGTAAGGAAGGGTCAACGTGATTTGACAATAGATTGCACATTCAGCAATATCGAGATGGATCTTAGGACAATGGATGCGCAGATTTGCACAAACGATTGCCCTGGAGTTATTTATCTGTGGAAAACATTTCCCATTCATAGAGAGCACTCGAAGCCTATGGTTTCAGATCAGCAGCTTACCTAATTGGATGTCAGTTTCCAGATAGCTCAGCTTAGTTCATACCATTACTATAGCAAGCACATTCGGCAATGCAGTTGACATTGTTCCACTCTATACTTTTTGGATTTGTCCCGCTACGATACTATCTTGAATGCAAGTGTGGTGATGTGGCGCAATGGCAAAGCGCACAGCAACCTGCGTTTTTGCGATCTATTAAAGAATGTGACACATCCGTGTATGTTTGGTATTATAAGGTCACAGCGGGCCTCCAATGAAGGAACCAAGCACATTAGGCTACCAGGTATTTTTTCTAATCCCCGTTTGATTGTGCGACGTGTATACTGACGACCAATGTACGTTTTTCAGGGAATGCTGTCAGGTGCACACCAATGCCTAAAGATTAGCACCATAGGAACACGATGGACTAAGTGTGAAATTTTGTTTAAAGTTTTGACTAACAACAAACGAATCGGAGAACTTGTCAGGGTTCGTCAGTACTAGCTACAGAGGATACTACTCCTGTTGCGACTGGACACCGTAATTCAGCCTAAAATGCCTGTGTACAACAGTTTTCCTCCATAACGAATGCACCAGCAGGACCAGTCGAAAACAGTCGGTTGGTTTGGGAGGATGTTACAGACCATAACCTTTTTGCGATGTAAAATTAGTCTTAATTTGACTTGCACGTTTGTCGAGTAGTTTCCATGGAGGTTAATGTTTTTGGGTTTATTTTATCGAATGAAATGTGTTGGGAAATTCAACCATTTTGAAGTAGTGAATTATGTATTGTGTAAAACTGTCTCGTAAACATCGTTGAGGACGTAAAAATTACCAGGCCTTTGAAGCTTGGATTTTAAAATCACAGCCTTGGAGGGACAATCACTCATGTTTCGTCCATATCGGAACTCATCAGTTAGATGTAAAATGATTAGTCAACTCGCCCACTAGTGGGCGATTTCGTTGCTTACCGCATACTCACATGGTCACATCTGTGCCCGCGACCTATTTGAACCGAATTGATATCTTGGCTCACTCTGTCCGATGTTACATTTAGGTTCCTGACGGGTAGAATCTACTCTGAGCTGTTCTTACCAGACTGAGGAAGATGACAAAACCTGTCAAAAGTTGTTGCTATAGTGGGGTCTTACCTGACGTCTTTGATTTATATAGCTCAACCACATACATATACACGTCGGAGCCAGGTACAACGGATGGCCTAGAATTCTTTAACGTCGTGATTGGATGAACTAACCGATATCCAGGTGCAGCTCTCTGATTGCTGTCAAGTTTGTTTCTTTCTTTCAGATTATTCAGTATGGCAAGGCTGGAGGATCCAACACAATTCTAATGTTTATTGATTAGTTGCCTTTTTACTTGAACTAGCCCAGTGAAAGATGAAATTGCTTATCGTATAGGAATAAACAGATCAACTTTTGTGGATCTCCGCTAATTTCACCTCATTATCACAAAATCATTCAAAAAATTACAAACTGTATTAACCCTTGGGATTATTCTAGCATCAGACGGTTGGAAACAGTGTGAAATAGAGTATGAAACTATTATGCACTCACGGATGGTTAACGTTCTCAACATGTACACGACAGAGTTGTTATTTTGACAGTCGAAGGATTTTGCTTGTGTGTAGAATGGAGCCCAAGTGGATTATGAAATCACTCTCAATTGACTCATCACCAGGTTTCTACCTGTGTCCTCTCATGGGCGTATACAGAGCAATGGAGACTGGAACATTATTGAGTTCCCACGGGGAAACCTTAGGGACAAACGGCCATTTGGACCGTAAGTTGCTCGGAACGACCTTTCGAAACCTGAACGAGAACAGCTACTGACCCTGACCGCACTGGATTGTCCAATATGCAAGTCCGTGGGACCAGTAGGGTCGTGCTATCTTGGGTGATCGGGTGGACTTCGTCGACCACGTCTTCCCACTTCGTCAGGTGTCAGAGCAACGCCATATGTACGGACGACCCACAATCTTGGTGTTTTTTTGCCTTCAAGGGTGCATTAGATTATTGACCGTTCTCAACTACATTTGCTCAACAGAGGTTGCCCCAGAATTTTGTGGACATCATCTGGTCTTATACTCACATACTTTTTAGCGTGAGAGTGTATGGTGATCTCTCTAAAAGGTTCCCTACAAAAAGTTGTGGCCGGCAAGGATATCTATTCTCTCGTCTCTTGTTCAACTTTGCCATGAGTGAAGCAATGAGGCGAACGTGTTGAACTCGATGCTGCTGAGAGACCTGTCCATCTGAAGTGCGCAGACGACATCGTCCTCTGCTCTGAAGACGAAATGGAAGCACAAGCTCTGTTGAACAAACTGACTATCTTTCCGCATGTACCTTTCACCTACAGAGTGTATTGTTTTATTGGTTTTTGGCTTGTTCGCGGAGCTTGGCAGTTGGATACAACTTCGTTTGTGACAGTTCAGATGATTGCTGCAGTAGTTCAGGATCTGGTACGTGTGCATTTCTTTCCTGTATGCTTCACTCTGCAGTTGGTTGTCTGTTGTCCTCCTGACGAGCACATCTAGGGGCACCGATTTATAGTGCTCAGTTCCCATTATGAAGTGAACACATTGTTCAGCGTTTGGTTCGCTCGCAGCAGTTCATTCTTCTTCACAATGGTAAATGTGTCGTCCGCATATCGCACACATAGTGTATTGTATATTTACGAGGAGTGGCTTCTGTGTATGGATAATGTGAGGCATCTTCGATCTTTTGACAACCGTTGTCTCAGAAGCGCTGCTGGTGTCGGATGGTGTCAGTGAATCCGTAGCAAAGTAATCGAAAGCGGTTCTTCGGTTATGCATCAGGTACTTCGGTTGCGGACAACACTCAGCACCCTCAACTGCTGTGGCTTGGCCATGTACTACGTATGCGGAAACATCTTCTACCGAGACAAGTGCTGTTCTCCGCGACATTACTTTTCGCTATGCTGTTCAGTTGCGTGTTATTACACCTGCATATCTTGAACGCGGGATCGCGTGTCCTCATATTTGTCTTACTGGTGGCCTGTGTTGTGAATTGTTTGCAGCGGTCACGTTCCATCTGGGTAAACATGCGAGAAACTATGCGTTCATCTCCAGTTTCACTGGTAAGGGTGCCGCGTATGGTGTGCATTGTGCAACACTGCCTACCTTAATGTTTGGTACGTTACTCTGAAGCTGGGTGTGAGCACCTTTATATATATATATATATATATATACTCGATTATCGCCTCCAACTGGCAAAGTGGAATTTTCTCATGCTTTTAGTGTCCCTCTGAGGATATTGTACGTTCTGAACATCGCAGCTCAGCCCTGTATAAAGTCCACTGCCGATACCTAATGGATTGATGCAACCCAAAGCAACTGGGTTAGATGTGTGCACCCTCTTCACTCAATATTTGTTGTCAGGTAGAACTCATCACGTGCCTTGTGTTTCTCTAACAACTGGACAATGCTCGGCTGATTTACCGCTGAGGTCCACCGATATACGCTTCTGGTAACACATTAATTCTCTGTGCTGCTCACTCCCTCGCCAACTTTTATTCTGGAGCTGGACGTTTTGAGTGGTCAAACGTCGATTTTGTCATATTGTGGCGAGATAGCCTCGAGTTAGGCGTGGGTAAGCTCTGAGTGGTACGCTAGTCGGCCGACCGGAATCGCGCACCTCAGCTTGACACCTCTCGTCCCTGCACGAAAACTGGAACCATCGTATAACTGCATACTGTCATGAGCTGCCATGATTTCTGAAGTACGCCGCTGAGTGGTCCAACATGTCAAGGATCATCACAAGTCCGTCATTATGTGAATGATATAATTAAATAAAAGTTAACTGGAAGCAGCCTGTCGACCTTTCTCCAGAGATTTCTAGAATCCTGCTCACTTGAAGTACAAAGTGATGATCGATTTGTGCTAGCTTGTGTAGTCGATTCACAGTGAGCTACAAACGGTGGGCTACCAGAAAACAAATAATTACATGCACTTTGCAAGTGCGTGTGTGAAATATTGCACGGTGCATAAGATGGTTCACATGGGCGAACACGAAACTGCACCATATTTGTAAGATGATTCTTCCGAAAACGACGTGTGGCGGAGAACATTAGTCAGTAACCTGCTTCTACTAACCCAAAAGAGTGCAAAAAGCGATCCACGTATGCAAGTCAACCCTGTGTATTGCAAGGATTCCATTTAGGCGTTTAGTTCAGTGAGAGTCAAGCTCCAGTTGACTCTGTCTCTACGAGGCTAGCGTATTTTGAAAACCTCAGCTCAACCTCAAAATGATTTCCATGTTCACATATACCTTCTCAATAGACCACAGTCCAACAGTGTTAGGTACTATCCCGTTACTGTTCTGATCACAACATCCACAGAAAATTTATCTCGATTTCAACACCTACCCTTTTTGTTCTATAAGATCAAATAGCAAAAATGTGCCGTATTTAACGAAAAGACATTGCGTTGTGGCAGTTCCTGCAACATCTACTCCTCTAGGTTGTTGGCGTTCCGCCAGTGCCGTCACTAGCCACTGTAGAGAGATTTTACCATATAACGTTGACTGACAGAGTTAACCAGGCTACTGGTCAACAACCTTGAAAGGTAGTATTCAAGAAGTATTTCAAAATGAGAAAGCGGAAATTGTTCCCAATGGTAGATATCCAACCTTTCTTTTCATTGTCCAGGTTGCGGAACGGACGAGGAAACTGGAAGAGAGCCGCCGTGAGCTGGAACAACGAACAAAACAGTTGAGTCAACAACTTGCCACTGAAGCGTCAGAATACGAAAAACAGAAACGTCACTTTGAAGAAGAGCGTTCAATATGGGAGGCGGAGAATCAAGATATTCTCGAGGTGAGTGTACATCTGAGACTCCGTTCCCTGCTTGTACTCCTGTTCCCATAATTTTACCGAATTTGTCATCCGGTGGGCTATTCAGTTCAGTGCACTTTCTGATTTTCATAGGCATCCGTTTACTGTTGATTTCCCATAATTCTTGAAAATGTTACCAGATGTTTTTAGTGAAACTTCGCGCTCCGTAATCTGGTATATGATTGTTAGCTAACCAGCCAACCTGTCTCGTTATTCTGGCGCTTCCTATCACTGTTCACGATTAATGGCTGCTTGCCTCTTCTTACAACGCATCCTTGTACGTGTCTTATGAAGGGCTTAGCAGGCGGTAGCGCAAGTGGGTCGACTTTGTTTTGTTATTTCTCTACGAAGGTTCAGTGTAACTTCTCTTTCCTTGAGGTGGTGAAGCGTAATTTAATGCTCGATCCTGTGGTTGGCGGAATGTTCGACTGTCGTGACACCACTTTGCTGGGTGTATAAGGCAAGTGGCCAAAAGCAAATTCTTCACCTTGGCGCCTTCGATGCGCGCACCCAAACGAAGACGGAGATGTAATCTCAGACGGCCGATTGGATGCATGTGTGAACTCTGGTTTGGTTCCTCCGGCTGCGTTCATTAGCTGGTGCCTGCTGTACTTGTGTTCGTTTGGGGCAAGTGGTTCACCATTATAACACTGATAGGACTCTACGTGTGTTGCATGTGGGTTCGGCGCATTACCCAGTGGGATTGATTAGCTCCTGGGTTATCCGAACAGTGGCGCGAGTTGGCTCAGTGGTTAGGGCGTGAATTTATTTGCCGTAAGGTTCGTGGTTCGAGCTAATCTCCTCATCTTGACTGCTCCTGTCTTGGCTTGGGCAGCCTGACAGTATTTCAGCCCTCATGCTTCAGTCGTGTGAAATGGCATCTAGGTACCGAAAACCACATTACTGATCGATCATCGGTGTGTATATTTTAGGGGCACTATTCAATTGCCTAGCTGACTAGTAAAAGCTATGCTGGAAATGCGATCAGGTCGATATTTCTCGATGCTCCTCCAACATGCAGTACCCATTACAGGAAGGAATGGACAAAGTGACCCCGAACATGTTGCCTGTTGCATCTGTATCTCAGACCTTGCTGCTCTGATTCAGTTTCATCATATCAACAACCTCTTTGGCTCTGGTTCAGCCTAGTACTAGCCAGTGACCTTCTTTGGGATGGGTCTCCAGTAGGACAACCTGAATCAAATCTTAATACAAGACCCCCGTTAAACCACATGCCACTCACCACAGTCAATCGCTGGCAGAATTTTCTTCCCAACGTAACACCGTCGGGTTATCTAGAGCGCACGGTTTAAACTCCAGGTGTCCAGAGTCCATCCACGCAGAAGCGAACTTCTGAGTAAGCACATTGTACTCTGAAGGTGTGCCCCAAAAGTCTGCAGCTTTTTTTCGTGTCGGTCCATGCACACTCTTTTCCTTATTGGTTGGTTGTACATTTGGTATACCTTTTTGGTGATTTTAAGAAGTGCATTAAAGGAGATAAAAATCGTGGAGCTTCACAATGTTTCTCTTTCGAAATATTGTTATTCCAATGTTATTTCGGGGAATACCAACGTAGCATTTTGCTGCATCTCGTATATCGTTAGTGAACATAACCGAAGCATTCTATAGGCTGATACGCTGATTGGCAATTCCAGACGTATTTAGACCTTCTCGGTGCCAAGGTTCGGGACTATTTTCGATGAATGTTGACCGTATGGCCAACTGACTGATGCATTTTCACTTTTCTATACATAATAATGCCCTCCAGGATTGGGTCCCTGAAAAACTAGAACTAAAAATTCTTAAACTAGATAGTGGTATTCCAAGAACATAACAGCTGAAAAACAAATGCTCCCAAAGCTTGAAATAATCTATCTGACTTATTGATCTGCCAGTGATTCCTAATGCAATCAATGGTTGCTACTTGGTTGTAGCCTTATTCTTACCGTCCAATTGAACCGCGTCGATTTTCCAGGCTAATAAATATATGTTCACTTTTTCCACAAGCGCTTGTTGTCCACTGATCACACCTGTCGGATACGACGGACGTTCAAAGATCGTTTTGTTGCGCTCGAAAGCTTCGTAGTGACTGCATGTATTCGACCGCTTGTAGTCTTTTAGAAGAGTGGATGGGGTCACAGCGTTTTCTTATCCTCATCTAAAAGTAGTAACTTAACAGGACCAAAAGCGAAGAGAGATGATTAGTGGAATGGTCAACAAATCCACACTATGTTCAGATGTGATGACGTGCAATGCAATAGATGTTCCACTTGTTTTGGAAATTGAATTTGAATTCCCTTCTACCGCTAGTTTAATTTCCGTGACGGATACAAATTTCAGTGCAATCATCTGTGACGATGCGTTCAGTAAATTTCACCATGATGTCGCATAAAAAGGCAAAAGTGAGATGTTTTTTCAGGCTTAATGGAGTTTTGCTTTCGTGACAGATCACTGTACTGTAAAACAGATCCGGATTATTTTGATTCATCAGGTGGACGTAGGGTTTTCAGTATCGTCGGCTCCCTTTCTAACAATTCCGTGCTGTTGGTCATAAGACTTCACGTCTATCAACCGGTTTGCACAGCCGGGAACTTGAATTTTGTTTGAGCCCCATACTGCCTTACTCAAACGATTCGTTTGACTTTGTGATAGTCGGCTTTTTGAATTGCTGGCTTCCTCTGGGGGATACTCGGTTTCATAGTGGCTCTTATCACTTCTGTTATTGTGTTAGGGTCTGCTGTGCATTTGTTTGCCTGACGTCACAGACAGGTAGGTTGCTGTGGCCTTGTGCGCATCATATCGACCGGTTTTATGCAAATACATTTCGGCACTGAACTTCGTCACACCCGCAACCTGTAGAGTACCAGATATCCGGTTTGGCTGCACTGCATTTTTTGATCAACTTGCTCGATAACAGAATTGTTTTTTTCGCTTTATTTTACCGACTTTGTACGGGTGTCTATTTTCACTGGACAGTACGTTGCGGTTGCTGAATCACACTTAACTGTTTACAGTTCAGGTTTTGGGCTCCAAATTTTTGTTTATGTGACCAGATTAGACTAGAGTTGTCTTTCGTGTCTCCTTCGAAATGGCGGGAACCTCGAGGCGGACAATGGCAGAATGGTCTCAAGGAGATTACGAATAGTTTGGGTGTTGTTGATGCAGTACATTTTCCATGATTGGGTTCCCGTGACCTCTGCGCTTGGCGGGAGACATTTTAGGAAATTGCTGGTGGTCGGTGTCAATGGCGTTCTTGCTGTCAGTTTCTTTCCAGAATATCTGACTGAGCGGTTGAAGGTACAGGCACCGCAGAGTGCTTCTGATAAACCATCACCAATCCCCTCCCTCACCCCCCACATTTCTTTTCATTCTGAGGCTTGAAATAAACTTAACTAAACGTTGTACTTGTACGGCGGTGAAGTGTCAACAATTCTGTTGCTGTTTCAGATGGTCATGATCACGATGGCGATGAGGACGGCAATTTATTATATGGTGCGCGACTTGGAGAACCATTCTCTTTAATCTTTTTGGGAATTATTATACGCAGCACGGTGCGATTCTGTAGGATGATGACCAGACGTATCCTGTTTTCACGTAGAGTATAGCTTATTCGATTAAGCGAAAGTAGCCTGCTGGAATCATGCTAAGTATTGATGGAACCACTCTAGTCGGTTGACAACTACATTCACGCGGTCAGTACACACAGCAACCTTTATCATTTATAATTAAAGTGCATCTATCAGCAGACTTCTAACATCAACACGAGTGAATGAAAGTTTTTTTTTTAAAAAAAAACCCCGGGAGCAGCAAAATATACTCATGACTCTAGCCGACCAAGTCTTAGGTAAATCGAATAATGGTCTAATTATGGAAGGTCTTCGATGTGATGGAAAGAATCGTTTTCACTTGCTGCTCAAAATTAGTTGACTAGGACATTAGAGCTTCTGGGAGCTGGAGTTGAGCGCAGTGCGTACACCAGTCACCGTGGACTGCGCGGTAGATTAGGTAAAGAAAAATTAAGCATGCTCCGTGGATGATTATGGACGTATTCCGCCGTACGAAAAGATTGCTGTCAGATCCGTGATTGGGGTTCTGCAACCGTTGCGTGTGAATGTTAGTGTAAAGAAATTATGAGCAAATCTGGACTGAACTTGAGACTTGTCTGACTCGGGTTTTTTACGCCTCAGGTAGTGTAGCAATGCACAGCCCATTCCGCCAGATTGTGGTTGTTGCTTCGTAACGTCATGCTCACGGATCGCCTCTCGTAAGCGTCTGGAATTCATTTTCGAAATGGCTTCATGTGAATGGCAGTGACTTTTGTTCAATTCGAGAATAACAGATAGTTGAAAGTTGAACTATAATAACTTAAGCTGAAACACGCTGGATTCTATTCCAGTTAAATTATTTGAGGTACTTGACTTCCTGGGAATACGTGTGTAGTGATGATTCATCCACAATGGTTCTAGTGGCTTTTCGCACCCTTCAACCGCAGCATTCGCGATAACTTTATTTCACTGGGTCAATGATCAAAACTGAATATATGTCCCCTTTGTTAGTGGTTCCATTCATAATCACAACATGTTCCATCATCCCGATTTCTGAGCAACTGATAAATGCGGGGGCGTGTATGGTCCAGTTGTATTTCATAACCCTCATGGCCCGTCGCATGGCATTCCGGTAAGGACGTATTTGTGTGTATATATTCAGTAGATACCTGAACAGTTGTTTGCAATATATCATGGAGAGTTGAGAGCGTGCGGTGAAATGTAGAAATAACGGGTAACCTTAACAGCATCGGAGTTAGATGTGACCGATAGTAGGNCGTTCACCCCTACACGTTTCTGTCATCTCATTGGTCTCATTTTCTTCTACTTTTGGTATGGACACATCCAGACAGGGCTAACCACCCAGCCGGAACCTCGAATATTTTCTTCATCTATTGATTACCACTCTGGCTCCAGCCCTGGTCTAAGACCCTCTTTCGGACAGTTAGGTACTAAGGTGCCCGTTACGCGGAAGTCCAATACGTGGTTTAGTCGAAACCGTTCAAGCTCACGTCCATTTGCCGCCAACCGCCTTCGTACTATGCACGAAGTTTGGTCTTCCAGTTGCTTCAAGCGTCGATCGAAATCTGCTGATCTTTTTACGCACCGTCTACATCAGGGAGGATGTTCTCAACCCGAAGATGAGTGTTGCAGTTCAGCTTTTCCGAGCCGATGGCGAATTGAACACTTGCCTGTCATGACAGTAAATCAGACATCCTATTATAGTCGGATTCCGCCTAACACATTTCAACCCAGTAGGCCATCAATTGCTTCTGGACAGTCCATCAGGCGCGGTCCCGCTCCACTGGCCAAGCCGGAACCATCAAATATCAACTTGTGCTATTCTGCAATCATTACAAGACCAGTCAGCCATCTGATGGTGGTTATCTCTGATGTTTTGGTTACATTCGGCGTTTTGTGTCGGGTTATTACGTTTCGTTTTTTTGTCCGTCGCACACCTCCAAAGTGTGGCAGGCTGTTGACTGTTGCATTTGTTCTCTTAATTTTCAGAACGTACGCACATCGGTTGATTCGAAAGAGAAGAGCCGTACAAAGCGGAAAAACCTCTTTTGATCAAATGCACTTATACAGCTGTTCCTCTCCCTATCACCGTTGCCAACACCCGCTGATGGTATCACTATAAATTCCGTTGCACATACACTCGTGCCACTTACGATGTTGACTACTGCCTGCTTCTTCGTTTCGACGGGTAGATGAGTTGCGCGGTTGCTGTTCGTCGTTTTGTTGTCCACTGCGCATGCGGACAATCAAGTCATGTATTCTTCCACGTTACACCGCTTCGTCTCTACGCCTTTGATTTTTCCGGTCGCTCTGGTATCGTCTTTCACGAAAACGCTCCCTGTCACCGCTTCCAGACTCTAATTTGTTCGGTGCTCCGCCATGTTTTTCCGAAAAATGGTATATATCTCAATCCTGCTGGGTTTCTATTCTTTTTTTCGCTGTTTGCGTACGTATTATGACTCTTATTCTTCTTGTTATGTTTTCCGAAAGCTGTACAATCTATATTACAGTTGCTAGTTCGGTAGTTGTGGTTCGTTTTTTCCAAGCAAGATAGCATGATTCAGTACAACTCAAGGAGCGATGAACTTTCACTGTAGGGTGACATTTCATCGCTCAGATGGCTCAGTGATTAGAGCGCGAATTTGTTGACCGGAAGGTCCGTGGTTCGAACCCGACTTCTGCATTTCAACTTCCGTTTAGGCTTGGGCGACCTGACAATATCCCAGCCCTCGTGGTTTCTTCGGGTGGCATGACAGCTAGGCGCCGAAGCGGTGATATAGCTGAACGATTATAATAATAATTATTATTACTGTTAGGCGTTATTCGGAACAGTATGTTATTGAGAGTCCTATCGTGGTAATCGATAACCACACGTGCCCGTTTTTACGGGTCGTACAAGTTGACTGATAGTGCTCACACTCACTCGACAAGCATGAGAAGAGCGATGAAGCGAAGTCGTCTCCTATACACTTCCCCGAAACCTACCTGCTTGCTTTCGTTTGTTCATAATCTGTTTATTCAACTGTGCCATCGGCTTCACCCTGTACCCAGGTGTTTTAAATCGTCGATGTGTTTATGTTGTGTAGTTTTTTCCAGTCTGATAGGTCATTACGCCGTGTGAGCTGCGACAGTTTGGTCCATCACTGTTTACGCACTGAATGTTAATCGGGTCTAGTTGGAAGCCGCAGGGTAAACACCGTGTAGTTACTTTTGTTCAGTCTTAGCATTTCAGTCTGTGTGACAACTCTGCTTCGCAATCTCAACTGTTTCGACAACCTAAAACGTACGTTAGGTCTTTAATCATATTTCCGTGGGAATGAACTCCGTCACATCTTTGTACACTGCTGTAACGTGTGGATAACCGGAGAAACAGTTATGCATAGCTTGGTGGGCTGGGTACGGTTTTTTTGCCGTCAAGGGTCTCAATATATCCGCATGAATTCACTGGTGAGGTGAGCATTGTACTGTGCTGAAGATGTTTCTTCATATCACGTCTGTTGTCTATGCGACCCTTGGGGCCGAGGGCACATTTCACGGTTACGTTAGTCACATGATTTTGGACTCGTGAAAGCATGCCCTGAGGAGTTTCTGTCCCTACATTCAGGTTATACTGGAGTTCGTCGTGTGCTTCGTTCCAGGAAAGTTTGAGGGAATCGGTGGATTTATTGGTAGATAAAGGTTTGCTTTCGACACGAGAACTTTGTCAAGCCAGTTTATTAGGTCACAGGGCTGGTCGAATGGTAATCTGGACGGAGAATCACTGGACCAGAGCTCTTCCTAATGGTAGTCGTAATCAGTGTTGGATGTCGGCTAAGAGTTCTTAGTGTGGGCTGGGGAGACTTACTTGACTTAGGACCGGATCTGGGGGTATTCATCTTCCGGTTCAGAAAGACCCCTGTTGAGTGTCGCTCACAGTTTTGGTCTGTACGCGTGCGCTAATGCTTCGGCAACTGGTGCGGTTAGGTGGAATTATATTACCTTTGGTCGGGTTGGACTTTCTACCCTAGCTATCAACTACTCCCGTTGAGGACTCCTCATGCTTGAATCCTATACTGTCGTGCCAGTTCGCTTTGTCCAAAACCGCTCTCTGTACACTCGCCGTTTCTACACACTGTATTCATGGATGTTTGCCCTTTTCCATCGGCTAGGACATCGGTCTCTGTGGTATGAATAACAGTTTTCATCTTAGAAATTCCACATGTCCCATCCCTTTCTGTATTCTGCGCCCAGTTTGACACGTGCCCGTTCGGTTGTTCTCCTCTCGTGCTCACGAATTCTCATATGTAGTTCCCTGAGTGTTTGTCATATACAGACCTTAATGCGGTCATTTAATTTAATTTTACGCGTGCATATCTGGTCTCTTCAATATGGAGATGGTCTTTCAGTTGCACGAATACTGATCGTAGCTTCTTTTTAGAGTGCTGCTGTAGTGTTAATTGTGCTAAACAGCTTTGGAATATCTTATGCCTTCTTGCTTTGGATAGGATAGCTGCTAGGTCTTGCTGCCAGGGTCAGTCCCTTCTTAAGTGTCGTTCACTAGAAGTTTGTTTTTTTATCTGATTTTGGGATGTTGCTTGAAGAAATTACGCATAACAGTTGAACTGCGTTATTTCCCACGTTTGTGCCCAAACGAAGCTCTTGCTGTGCATCCCTTGACTTGGTCCACCCATCGACCAATCAGTCAATACATGTGTGGTACTTATTTATGATTAGGCAGGTCGTAAACGTCATGCTGAACTCTCCTGTACATAGTGCTGTGACCCGAATGGACTGACGAAGCAGTACACCGCGCAGGTTGTCTTGGGAAGGACTGACAGCTAGCAAACGGTGGTTTTTGATTTCCTATCGCTTATGTGATATACAATCCAGGAAAAGTTGCCTGCCGGAGATGAACTCTACCTTCATGCAAGACTTCGCGTGCAGATGCAGGTGATCGAGATGCTCGTAGATATTGTTGACGTTAGCACATCACAACAAGTGTCGTCCACATAACGCTGCGAAACCTGTCGATGGGAAGTCATAAAGCCAAGGCCTTTTCGACCCATTCCATGTAAGTATTGACCAGGACCTCGGATAAGGGGGATCCAGTTTTACCTTATTCCGAGAGTACACAGCTGAGTCAAAAGCAAAATGACAGACTGAAGTATACATTCACACCCCCAACTATTTCAGTTGATGAACACCGAATACTCCATGGCAGCTTTGTATCTGCCAGTGAAGGGAAGCGAGCCTTCCAGTGTGGGGCATTTTGCCGATCAACACGAACTAAGCGGTTATAGACACGAAGGTAAAAACCTCATTTGCAGATTTTGAAGAGCCAATGTTTTCTTCAACCTTCTTGGATGTTGTTGAATATTAAACAACAATGAACAATCGTTGCAAAACTACTCAGCTGTTTCCATATCAACGTACCATCAGATGCATGAACAGCGCTCTAACACATGTACAACTCACATGTTTCATCAGTGGAATACACTGTTACACCGGTAACAACCCTTCCCCGTACAGTATTCCACCTTTAGTGCATCATCTCTTTAGTTTATTCAGTTGACGAGTGTAACCTGAAGCTTATAAGTAATCATTCATCGGCTCATCATCATTATCAGCTGTACGAACCGCCTGCTTTTCGTAGTGATTGTGACTACCACTATTCCGTCCATCGATTTGGGTAGGCAGGGTAGGTAGCTGCGCATTGGAGACGCGAGCTGATAAATTGTTGCTCAAATGCAGGTCTGTCAGTGGATTTTCAAGTGGAGGGATTGGAAAGGAAGGTAATAGCTTGGATGCACGAGCGCCACTGAGGGTGCGGCTGCGCCATGTCTGACAGTGCCTCCAATCATTGTTGCGGATCGTCTTGGACCGCCATCCAGAAAGACGGAAATGGTCAGCGCAGTTGAGTTTGCTGGTAATGGCCCTGATACTTCGTCACCAAGTCATTGCTCGACCTCACCTGGCTTGTTTCCACCCTTCGCGTTATTCTGCAAAAAGAACCCTTCGAGGAAATCGGTCAACATAATCTGTCTAATTGACATGTTCGATTATTTAGAACTGTCCTGCTCCGGACGGTTATGCCACAATAACACAGTGTACCTCTCCACGAATTGCCACTATACAACCCCGTTATACTTTTTCACAAAAAATCGGATCACATTCCGCCGCACCATATCAACTTGTTTTTGAATGCCGGCTCGCACCAACCCAAAGATGGCCTCCGCGTTTCACACATTGGAATTTTACTTAATTTTCCTGACTGATATGCAGGTGACTGGCTCATTCAACGTCAGTGACGGGAAAGAGGTGGAAATGTTCTTCCCACCTGGTCTTTCGAGTTTTTCATCTTTGTTCTCGCTTGAATCATCCCATTTTGTGAACACTCATGTATCTTCCGTTTTCCTTATTTCCGTTTCTGTCCATTTGTTTCCATTATTTTGCATTCGTATCATTTAAGTCATTTCATTCGGTATCCAAAGAGGGCCTTAGCATGCCACCTTCTTCCTTCACACCGCAACGCATGATGCGAAATCAGCGTCCCAATGTTGAGTCAGCAAACAGTGGTGTGACGGATGGACTACTGATGGAACATTCGAGTAATCTCGTCAAAACAGTTAGAAGAGCCAACCACGTGTCTGCTCGAAGACTGTTTTGGAAATGATTGAGCCCTCTAGCGGTTCTTGTTGGTTCATATCAACTATTCAAATACAAATCGTTCAGCTTCAACATCCTTCCGGTGCCTAACCGTCATGCCGTCTGAAGGTTGCACGAGGGCTGTGATATTTCCAGGTTGCCCAAGCCTAGATAAGGAGAGTCAGAGGTCGGGTTCAAACCACGGACCTTTCGGTTGGTGAATTCGCGCTCTAACTACTTGGAACATCTCGCCCAAATAGCGTCCAGAGCAGCTCAGGAACACGCCTACGTTGTTAACTTGAAGATTGCGGGGAAGAGATTTTTGTTCATGTCTGATAGCTTGTAAACATCCTGTTCTTGTCTCACATAAACAACTCCGCATTCGGAGGCATCTTTCCTTTCATCTAGTGGTGGGACCAATGCCCACGTCTACAGCCTTTCGACGGGGGATACTTTCCGGTTTTCCTTGATGGATTCGAGGGTGTGGTTGACCTGGAGGGTCGACTGAGGGATCTCCTCAAACGCAAAGCGAGGGCCGACTTTGAAGCGGTTAGAAGAGATCGTAGTAAGGTCGGTTGGTCCGCCGCTGAGAAAGCCCACATAACGGAGTCTGACTCATCGGCCGGCCACCAGGGGCTGTGATGCAGCTCAAGTCGGCCACTTTGGAACGGGTGGCAATCCGGCGAGTCTGTAGCAGTGGCTGGTCTGCGCTCTGCCAGGATCGAACGGGGTGCCATGTCAGAGTGTCGGACAAGGTGTGTCTCTGGCGCTAGGCACTCACTTGTGGTTAGCCAGACCAACCGGCTAGTTTTTGTATGGCTGGCCACTCAAAAAACGACTGCCTCTGCAACCAGCCATCTGTCAACAATAGCAATTTTTCTTACTCATCTTTTCCTGGGTGAGTTACAATTAGTGCAGTGACACAGGCTGCGATACGCTCAGTAATTGAGCTAGACGGCTAGAGCGAGTTGTGTTTAACCGATACAGGGACTGGAGTGCCACTGTGGCAGAAAGGGAACGAAGGTATATGCAGATCGCGCGCCTAATCAGCGATGACATTGGATGGGTATCGACTAGAAATCAACGGTTTGCCACTGCTTTCCATGCCCATAGGCAACAGAGCAGTGTAGACCCAAATCAGACGATTTTGCGGAAAGGTTTTCTTTCAAG